CGATCCTGTCACGGCAGAGAGCCGTGACAGGGGAGGGACTGGATTCCCCGCTCCGATCCTCCAGCGCTGACTGGCGGAACGGACGCACCAGGCCCCCAGGCTGAGGCCCTGGTGCGCATGCACCGGCGGTAGTTCCGCCACTGGTCAGGGGTAGGGGCAAAAAGGATAAGTGCCCTTAATTATTATTATTATTATACCTATCCTTTAATTAATCTGTTCCATTGACAGCTGTAGTACTCGGGATTTCCCCTTACTTTAGGGAGCTTTTTCTTCACTTCCTGTTATGTCTCTAGGACAGGAAAAGTGGGGAGATTAATTGGCTATCAGACATCAATAAAAACCTATTGTTAGCCCTTTCAACTCTATCCAAATCTCAATGGCTGGCTTCTGCATTTGCATTATGAAAATTAAGAATCTGTAATGCATTTTAATTGTGGACAAATTTGAGTTAATGTAACTTGAAAGTAATGATTTTTTTTTTATGGATTTAAACCTTTTTCTCGCTTAATGTACTGTTTTTTTTCCATTAGGTTATTCAACACATACATTCTTAAGATTAGGGGGTTATTCACTATAGAGCCGAAGGATATAGCCGCAGCTTCGGCTAATCCATCGGCTCTGTGACGACATGGTGATCAGTTTATAAGTTAAATGTGTATTGGTGTTGAGTTATGTTTGAGTGCGTTATGCTGTGTGACCTGGTTATGGAAAGACCATCAGCACCATCCCTCGTTATCTCCCATTGTTCTCTGAGGGAGCTCAGGACAATTACATTCTGGCCAGGCTCCTGCTATGGCTGTCTGGAGTTCGTTAGCAGGTGGACACCTGTGGTGTTGAGCAGACCGATGGTCTGGTAGAAAGCCGTCCTCCCGCCCCAACAGCAAGCCAGAACTGAGGATGTGGTTTCCCCAGCAGAAGTGCTGACACCCAGGCAGAGTACCACTGGCCTATGTCCCACACTGTTGCCTGCTCCAAACTTCATGGGAGAAAAGAAAGCCGGCCTCTCTACCAGCATGTGGCTTTGGTGTCCCGAAGATTCTGGCTTTATCACTCTCCTGAGACAGCATGTTCTTCAGGAAGGCACAGATGACATCTCTCCCTAGAGGCAGAACGTCCTGTGGATGGAACATGTGGACTTATGCTGCCTGAAAAACGCAGGTCCAGACCAGTTGGGGGACTGGGACCTAATTAGTCTACCTTTGGGAGGGGAGAAATGTCACAGAACCCACCGTGACCTGGGCTCCTGGAGAGGGTTGGCGGCCAGCCTCCTTCCCAGCGACTATGGACCTAGTATTATGGAGACCCCCCTTGTTTGTTTGAACCGGGTGTCCGGGGCCAATGGACGGCTGTTGCGGAGGAGCCTGGCCCCACAGACGTCCAATTTCACAATCCAATACCGGCCTGGGAAACAGAATGCCAATGGACTATCTCGCCAAGTGGAGCTGTAGGGGTGACTGACATCATGGACATCCCCAAGTGGACCCGTAGAGGGTCTCACCGGGTCTGCCATCTTTTAACTTGGGGGAGCTATGTGACGACATGGTGATCAGTTTATAAGTTAAATGTGTATTGGTGTTGAGTTATGTTTGAGTGCGTTATGCTGTGTGACCTGGTTATGGAAAGACCATCAGCACCATCCCTCGTTATCTCCCATTGTTCTCTGAGGGAGCTCAGGACAATTACATTCTGGCCAGGCTCCTGCTATGGCTGTCTGGAGTTCGCGGTGTTGAGCAGACCGATGGTCTGGGAGGGGCTGGGAGGGGAGGGTGGATGTGATGGGATTATATTCTGATTTCATCACTTGCTGTATATAAGTTTGTGCAGTTGCTCAATAAAGGAGAGTTTGTTTCACCTACACTCAAGCCTTGGCTAGTGACTGGGGAAACTGGGAGCTACAGATCAGCGGGTTCCAATATCTCCTCAGCAAGGAAGAAGACAGCGGCGGACATACTCATCCTGAGTACGGGAGTCCGTCACAGGCTCACTTCAGCCGCTGGAGCCTTTCGGTTCACAATGGCCCGTAGAGCAGCCGAATCAAACTGAACAGCTCAGCCAAGCCGAACGCATATGCTTTGGCTAAGCTGAGCCGAACACACGGACGAAGCAGGGAGAACAGTCTGTCAAAGCAGACCGTTCTCCCCGCAAATGTAAACGAGTAAAAAAAAAGGAACGCACTTTTAAAAATTGTTTTTTTAAAACTTGGGGTCCCTCCTAAATTTCCTACCAGACCTACAGGATCAGGTATGGATTTTTTTTTCTTTTATTAACATATGTTTTTTTTTTTTTATGCAGAGGTAGCGAACAGAATAATTGCTCGGCGGCATTTGACTATTCACCCACTGCTGTTTGGTCCTCAGTGATCTACCATGCGTTCGGCTCAGCCAATCCAGATGTTGGATCGGCTGAGTCGAACAGGTCCTTCACTGCGGGTCAGCCAAACATGCTGAGCATGTTCGGTCGAACCGGAAGGAGTCAAAGCCATCCAATGTACAGCTGAAATCAGTCGTACTCAGCTGAAGTGAATAGCTGAACGTGGTTTGGCTCCTTTCACTTTGGCTCTGTTATTCACTCGGCTGCCTTAGCTGGCTTATATAAAGCGCGGTGATGACATTCACATACAGTATATATGTGAAAAATAGAAGACATAGTCCGCCTTTTGCAACAATTTTGTAAATGGGTCAATGTTGATACAAAATGTGCATTTTCTATATTTTTGCATTGAGGTCTGCAGAGCATTGCAACTGTGATTAGTGTGTTGTGGAGGCAATTCAGAGGCCACTGCATTGTTTACCCTCAGCCCCAAGTCTGCATGAAGCTACAGACCTTCTGGTATGGGGTTGGAAGAATTGCTGGTTGGACTACAATTGTGACGATGGAATGTTCTACTAAGTCCCTCTGCCTCGGTGGCCAATTGGTTTAGTGCCACTGAGACAGAGGGACTTAGTAGAAGGTGGCATAGCCCACCTTTATCTTACCTAAAGGTGGACTATGTCTTGAAGTAACATAATTCTCTGTTCAAATCTCTGGACATTGATCATTTGAATGATGCCTCTATGTTCTGTGTCTGCTCATTCTGGGACAGGTGACCACGTTCGGAAGCCAGGGTACCATACCCGTATGTGATAATTCCACCGTCTATGTTGAGTGTTTGACAACAAGCCGTATGGGAGTCAATGTGACTTGGACAGTCCGGACACAAGAAATCCCAGAATCCTCTCTGCCTACTTTACTTGATATTGGTGAGTCTTATTACACTTGACTGATGCAGATGCTGACAAAGCCCCGGTCTTCAAGTCTTCAAAAGAGCAAACCTTGCACTAAACAAAGCAAGGTCCGGCCAAAAAATTAGGGCATCCTCCCCCACAAAAAAATAATAATATAATTTTGAAAGTAAAATCTTTGCCCCAACAGGATTTTTTTTTAACTTAATGCAAAAAAACCCCTTGTTGCCCTGTGATTGGGAAATCGCGCATTGCAACAGTTTTTTTTAATGTTCTCCTAATTCTCTGAATGTATAAATCTGAATTGAAAATAAATCTTTCATCCAAATAGACAGATTCTACAGATTTCATCCTTCCTGGTGACACAGAAATCTGACATTTGGTGACATTCCTCCGCTTTAGAGACCAAATCAGCGGTGGAAATTTTAGCAGCAGATGTCTGGGTTGATGTGGAGGGCCATGTGACTGTGAAGCCGGCCCGAGCTGGTTTTAATTGTGAGCTTTATTAAAGACGATTCCAAACAAAACAAAAAAGTAACAAAATGAAAAATGATTGAAGCCATTACTAAATAATAAATCCCAGCACTGACAATGGGAGGGGGAAAGACAGGACACTTTGTCTAACCCAAGCATACTTAAACATTCTTATCATCGTGCTGCTACACATTGATTGTCCAATCAGAGTCAAGGGTATATACTGTGTGTGTATATATATATATATAGTTTTTAATATTTAATTGTTTGTCTGGAGCTGAGCTTTAACCATTTCACTGCCCCTGCCCAATGCCATATGGCAGCGACATCAGGTCGCTGTAAGCAGACTTTATTTGCACGTGTAAAGATGACTGCCAGCTTTCCACTGTAAAGCTGTAAAGCTTCCTGATCACTTCCGTGGGTCACCAAAGGTACTGTGTGTCCCCCTCCCCAGAGCCGAACTACCTCCACCATGTATCCCAGGCTCTGCTGGCCCTCCTGGAATGGGACAGAGGGCGGCTCAGCCCCTGTGCTGAATGAAGCGGTAAGTGATAAGCTTTACGTCACTTCCGGTTTCAGAGTGGTCATGTCACTGCTCTTGATCAGCTTCATTGGATTACAGAGGTAACTTGCTCTTGTCACTGCACCTGTCATCTTATTTTGCCTGAGGAAGGGACCTGCACTGCCCTAAAACATTGCTTTATTTTGTTTGACATGATGCTTAAATGCCAATAAAGGCATTTTCTGGATGAAGACTTTGGAGTGCTGGTGACATAAACTTCATTACTTGGATGCATGCATTCCCAATCGCAGAATCACTTCAGCACCAGTGGGTTAACAAGCGGGGGGGGGCAACCGGGCACAGAAATGGGGGAGGCGCTGGCCGGCCGGGCAGCGCACACAATTAGTGGCTGAACATAATGAAGTAGGCAAGTTATGTGGCCGCTCGCTAAGGTCGAATGGGGGTTGATATAATGGGGGGGGGAAATTTTGTTCTGCCCCAGCAACCGTAACTCTGGTTACACCACTGTTCAGCATCCATACAACTAGGGGAATACTGGTCAGGAGTGCGGCGGGACTCAACATCACATGTCTGACACAGATTAGCCCCCTGCTGCGGCCTCTCACCTTGTGACTCGCTAAAACGTTACAATGCTACAGTCTGATCACTGGGGGAGAGGAGAATGGGAAAAGGCTTCCACCTGCAGCAGGCTGATGACATCATCCCAGTCTAGACAAAGTCACTATCACTGGAGGAAGAGAGTTTAGAAGCTGCTTGTTTTTGCGCATTGTCTACCACATGCGTAAAAGAACGAAGAGATCACTGCCACTCCAAGGTTCAAGAATGTCAAACCTCCTCTATTGACATCTTAGAAGGTCTCACAATGTTTGGCGCCATTTCAGAACCCAACCGGGTTCCTTCCGCAGGCAAACAAAGTGACCACACCACATTGTCTACCACATGGGCATTCTTTTATTCTATTGAAAAAAATCAAAGTTAGATCCACCTTATGGCCCCAAGACAGGCAAAGTGAATACAATTCATGTCCGTCTTACCAGAAATAATCTTTACATATGCCTTTGTTTTTCCACTTATGAGTTTTCTTTCCCTTCACAGAAAATGCGCTGGCGACGGAGAATGTGGTTGGACGCCTGTTATCACTTATCGGATCTGGCAGCTATTCCCTGGATTTGGATTCCAAGCTCTTTGTGGCAGACAAGTCTGATTTCCTCCCTAAAGACTCCTCCACACAGGTCAGACTCGGCTGTGGAAAAGGATTCCAGAAGTTGCTGAATTCCGGGGCAGACGAAATTGGGAATGTTGCTGGATGCGGTATGTACAATTTCGCTAGTGTATTGATACGGGCCTTCATACAAAGTCAAACATTCCTCTTCATTAAAGTATAGTGTGTCGAACCAAAACCTTTTTCGTTTTGCGTATAATAGGGAAGGAATAGAACCCTTGTTGGGTTTGTACTGATCTCCGGGGCTCTGTTATGGAGACTTTCTCTTACTTCCTGACCTGGTGACAACAGAAAATGTCAAACATAAAGAGTAGTGAAGGGCTAAAGCCTTCTGTCAGCTTTTTATGACAGTTAGTCAAATCAGAAAAGAGCGCCAATCAACTCTCAAGAGTTCAAAACTGTATTTTATGAATTCACGGGTATCACAAAGGGAACAGAAAACATCCAATGCGATTCGGGAACCAAACAATAGCCTTTCATCAAGGCTTTGACAGCAGCCTCAAATAACTCAGACTCTAAGCCTGAGTCGTTAAATCAGAGCCAAGTGTATTGCGGATAAAAACCTGGAGTGAGCGAAATTAAGCAGCTGTGCACCATCATGCACAAAGGCACTTAAGTATGTTTGTGTCTGAAGCCTGTAAGAGATCTTGCCACCTGTGGTGCCCTGTTTTTATGGGCTAAAAAAAGAAGAGGTTGCATTGTACAGTGGTGTGTCCATTACTGTGTTATATTGGGATATACCTTCACTGACTTCTGCAGCTGCAGGCATTGTGGATCAATTGTGAACCAGTGTGCTGCGCTTGGTATTGTGATACGTGCTATATTTATACCACAAACGAAACCAATATAAGTGTTCGTACCTTCACCATATTTATATGACACGTGTATTTATTAACGTTCATGCACATATGCACCTTTGGATTGCATTTAGTTGCAAGTAGGATTTGATCACTTATATTGGTTTCGTTTGTGGTATAAATATAGCACGTATCACAATACCAAGCGCAGCACACTGGTTCACAATTGATCACTTCGATAGATATTGCTGCAGCTGGATTATAATCATTTGGATCATATTTTTTGATATTATTATTTTTTGATATTATTATATCTTTTTCTATTTTTTCTGTATTTTGGTTTCTGATTTTTTCATATATCCTAGCGCAACTACCTTGGTCACCATTGTGGATCAATTGATCCTCAATTTTCATGTTCTCTCTGTAGGTCAGCTCCCCCTCCCAGCAGTGACTCCCAGCAACCTGCCAGTCTTCTAATCCCTAATGTAAACACAGAGCAGGTGCACAGGAACACGAGATGGGATATATCTTGGAGATGGTATATACCTTCACTGGCTTCACTATACCTTCACTGACTTCTGCAGCTGCAGGCATTGTGCATCAATTAATCCTCAAAATGCAGGTTCTCTTTCTAGATCATCTACCTCCTCACTGCAGTGATTTGGCAACTTGCCAGTCTTCTAATCTCTAATGGAAACATAGTGCAGGTGCACAGGAACACGAGATGGGATATACCCACACTGATTTCTGCAGCTGCAGCCATTATGAATCAATGTTTTCTCAAATTTCAGGTTCTCTCTGTAGAAAATGTACCCCCTCCCAGCAGTGACTTGGCAACCTGCCAGTCTTCTAATCCCTAATGAAAACACAGAGCAGGTACACAGGAACATGAGAGTGCAGAGTGCTAAGAACTTGAAAGCTTGCATTGTGTACTTTGAGGATGAATTGGTCCAAAGTAGTCATAACTACAGCAGTCAGTGAGGGCTTATTGTTAAAGCATATTAACTGCTTGTTAAAATTATGTAAACATTTGAATAGCCATAGACATGCAGGTGTGATCCATCAAGCCTTGGGCAGCACATATTCTCCATAAGCTTGCAAGGTTGGCCCTATCAGCCTAGCTGATTGATGTCAGTGCCAAGGGGATGGGGGAAAGAAATAATCAGCTTCATCAGATGCGCTGCCTTACCTCAGAAGGAACACTAGAACTGACACAGGCATTTAAATGGCATGGTCCATTCTTGATAATGGCTGAGAATGGTAAGCAGTTGTCGTTTTGCATCTAGTGAGAGCTTAATCAGAATGTATAATAATTTTATTCAATTACATTTGATTTTTTCCCCAAATGTTTATAAATGAATGTTTTTATCTATTTTTTATTTTTAAAAAATTCACCAATCTTAAACAAGATTATTCCATAAAGTGTTTAAAGACCATGCTGGGCTTTTCCAAGAAAGAAAGCCTACCACAAGCCACTTATTGACTGCTTTATTAGATTAAATATCCCAATGGATACCTGTAGTCTGTGTCATATCACCTATGGTCAACAACCGGTAGGTAAAAGTCTAATGTGATCTACTCTTTTCCTTTGCAGTTATTTGTCCAGCGGGAAGTTATTCTGAAGCTGGGGAGTGTGTGCCTTGTCCACATGGCTACTACCAGGAGAAGTCGGGGAGCAGCCAGTGCCTAAAATGTCCTCTGGGCACCACCACTGGCTACACCGGAGCTTATAAACAGAACCATTGTGAGTGTAATCACATTATAGTATCACGTCCCCACCTGTCACATTTAGGAGCCACATTGGCCCTGTTATGTTCTATTTTGCCTCTCTTCTTAGCCCGATGTTACAGAGCTCTAAAAATCAGCATTTAACACACAAACAGTAGTAGTTGTAGTATTAGGGGTAGCCGCAGCAGTAGTAGTGGTGGTGGTAGTAGCAGAAAGAGAGGCTAAAGATCAACAATGTACAATTCAAAAATCCTAACCGAAAATTCTAAATTTTTTTCATAGTACAGACCAAAAATATCGAACCTTCCAGATCCATGTTGGAAAATTGATATAATCCAGTCTTCCTTCCCTTACTCAACCCAGCCCTCTACCGTAGGCTAACAGAAAAAAATACTTTTATAAACCTCTGCATACCCTGGCTTCCCCTGATCCAATTTATATTAAATGCAATTTGGGTTGTAGGTGTACCTTGTATAAAAAGTTTACTCAAATAAAGAGTTTATAAAAATAGCAAAAAAAAATACTTAAACTATTACTTAAAGAAAATCTGTAAAAAGTAAATAAAAAAAAAAATATATATATATTAACCTGTGTTGGAATCAGTAGCATGTATAATTCACAGAATTACAGATTCTCTTTAATGAGACCAAAGATTAATCTGATTGTGGAAAGCCGATTCCATTTAACATCCCAAATCCTTTCAAGATGCTCGAAGTTTGCAAAACAGACCCAAATGGAGCATATGTATTGCATATGTATCTTGGGTTGGCCCTGATGTGGTCATGGCAATGACTGCGACACATCCAGCTCCCTCCGCTTAACAATGCTGAATAATGAGATTTCCTGTTTTGGGGGAACACATAATTAAAATCTTCATTATGACCTTTTGTCAAACTGTTTTTTGGTTTTGGGCATTAGTGGTTAGTGAAGGAATTTTGTTTGTCTATGGGCGGCTTATAGTGCTTCCATGTACATTCAGCTTCAAGCAGAACCGGAGTAGAAAAAAAAGAACAAAGTAGGCACAGTGTTTTGGCAAAATATATACTATAT